AAGCAGGGATTACACCACTTGTGTGACCGTTTAAATTTGTTGCATCCTCAAAATAATTCAGTGCACGTCGTTGGGAGCAAAACTGATTATATCCCAAAGTGAAAATGTGTCATTTTTGTTTGGGCACCATTGATTTCTAGTGCTGTCAAAGGTCTCCTACTGTAGGTGGAGCTTATTAGAGCTTCAAAGGTCGCCACTGGGAAAGCACCACGACAACAACGTGGAGCTGGGTGAAGTTAGAGATTTCATTAGAATGTGAGGGGTTCACTCCGTATACATTACTTATATTTTCTTTATTAAAAATCTACAAAACATTCTGGGAAATCTAAATGGCTAAAGAAATGAAATCTGTGGAAGAGAGCAGGTTTCTTTAGAAATCCCCCTTTTCCCAGTTAATATGGTTAAAGTCACACAGAGAAATATCACATTGGGGGTAAATTATTTAAACAGCATTACTTTGGGTTCTCTTTTAACCCTTTATAGGGCAAATTAGCGTTTTTTATGACATGCATACCCCTTACAAATAGAGTCTGTCCCTCAGTGAGGTCTAGAAGCACAATATCTATATCCAGCCATTCAGCAAAGATGCTGCTACATGGCTGTACAACTTATTTCTACATTTGACCAATTAGATCAGCCCTTGAATGATCTATTACCTCTTAATAAATACGTTATGTCAAGAAAAAAAAAGGTAAAAAGCTACTTAAAATGTTAAAAAGTAAAGTTAAAAAGTTCATAAGCCTAGTTAACAAGGCCAATTAGATCAGCCCTTGAATGATCTATTACCTCTTAATAAATACGTTATGTCAAGAAAAAAAAAGGTAAAAAGCTACTTAAAATGTTAAAAAGTAAAGTTAAAAAGTTCATAAGCCTAGTTAACAATTATATTTAGGTTTATAAACAAAAAAAATGCCAGTATCAGCATTAATGCATCTAAAGTTATATTGTACCAAAAACGTTTTTCTTTCACTCTCTTTTTCATGAATTTCTTATAGAAGCACTTTTGTTATTTTTCTTAATATATTCGGTCTAGTTGGCATTTCTTGCAATCAAAATATCCATATTTTTGGAATGTTACAAAAGTAATAAAGCGAACCAGTAGCCTCGTGTGAGCTTTCAAGATTTCACTCGCAGATCAGTCTGGAGACTCTCCGTTAAAGAAAATTTGGAGCCGTTCACCAAACGAACGTCCAATCAGCGTTGGCTTTGAGGCGGGTTGAGGTGTGACGCAATGAGAAGCGCGACAGTTCAGTCTAAAGAACATGGCGGCTTCAGCCGATGAAACTTGCGTTAGCGTGGCTATCGAGCAAGTTTTATCGGAATTACAGAGTATTTCTTCACTGAAAGAAGAGCAAAACACTGCTCTGGAGGCTTTTCTCAGAGGAAAAGATGTTTTTGCTCATCTCCCGACTGGTTTTCGCAAGAGTAGCCTGGCTTGTGGTTGTGTTTTTGTCGTTGCTCTGTTAGTACGTCATATGCTTCGTTGATCTGATTGGTTTATTTGGCCCGTCTATCACCAACATAGGCCAATCAGCTAACCACTATTTTCGGCCCTTCCCAAAATTACTTCAACGGAAGGTTTCCAGATGGATATGCGGAGCAAATCCATCTGGCGGAGTCAGGTTAGCTAAAAGAAATCTGTAAAAAAAAACATGTTATGCATGTTATGACTAGAGGAGCCCCTTACCTAAAGTTTAAATGACAGTGTGATCAGAAAGTGAGATTGCACAAATTTAACTTTCATTGGGGAAACTTTCCTGTCTACATTTTAACAGTATTTTCTGTGTTCTATAGTTTTTAAAGTAACACTTCTGTTTGCTTATTTCTTAAATAAAACAGGAAAAACTAACACAGGTACAAAAATATTTTTATTACCATTTTTCATATTACTTGACCTTTTAAAATAGGCCTATAGCATTAACACTTAATATTCCAAGCATTACTCTTGTCTGTAAATTTGTAAGATGCCAAGTCTCCTTTGCAAAGTTTGAACAAATATCAGGTTTAAAAGTAAATTTTTGTTATGTTTTTTTTTTATGGAAAAAAGGTAAACTTCCAACTTAATTGCTGTTTTATCCAGGGATAAATAAATAAAAAAGACATGGATGTGTGAACATTTCTTTAAAATTAATTTAGTTTTTCACAAGAATATATATTTGTATCAATGTATAATTCTTACAGTTTTTAGTTTGTATACAGCCCTGTTGATGAGGTGGTGATGACACTTCTAAAAAGGAAAGTACAAAGTCTGCAGGCTTCATATCAGTTGATGATTTTCCTTATACTGTTTTATCTGATTTTACTGCATATTCTGATAAGAGTGCTACTTCCTTCTCAAACCTCCAAATGTTTATAGTTATATTTGTAGATCCCAGAAAGAGTAAACATATCCAATAAAACTCATGTCCAGTTTTTATGAGCTAAATTTTGATTATCTTTGCAGCCTGAGAAAACTTATCCTGCACACTCCTCCAGTTTACCCACATATTCCCCTCTCAGTCATCATGTCAGAGTTATGGGGCTTCTTATAAAGGGGAGCGTCTCAATGAGTTTAATTAACTGAGAGGTTTTAATGAGCTCCGACTGGATGGATGGCCGGTTGGGGGACAGCCATGTGATCAGGAATCACCGCCATAAAAGCGGCCCATCCGTTAAATGGGGGACCAAGGAGTGACTGTGGCCCACCGAGCTGACAGATTGCAATAAATAGACAATAAAAGCAGGGAAGGGTCACTGGTCTGAGATTGACTTTCTATTTTTAGACCACCAGGTGTTTGGAGGGTATCCCAAAGGTTTAGACACTGTAGAATAATATAATTAATGGAATTAAAGGCTAAATTAGAGTCCATATGTTGACTAAGAAGTGATATTTTATCTAATCATCAGCACTTTGCAGTATAAAAATAAAAGTGGATTCAATCCATTAGTTTTTACAAAAATGCTTTGGAAGAGATACAGTGTTTTTAAAATAAAGCATATTTTATCAAAATTTTCTAGTCTCTTAAACAATGTCCATCCTACTCAAAACTTCCAAACGTGCAACAAATGTTAAGACTTAATAAAGATTCTCTTAGTTGTATATGACAAAATTAACCCCTAATATATCATAATACATGTTTCTGTTTTTAAATAGCTTTAAGACAAAAAAAAAGAATGAAGAAAGCAATCTAGTTTCAACAGAAGTCAAGATACATTGTAAGATATATTGCTCTCAAATGACTTTAAGGTAGTACATTTACAGTTAAAGGCTTTGAAAACTGATAAAGCAACAAAGTCAATGTTATCAATCTTTAATAGAGCAAAGACCCAAACCACCCACCACCCCAACATGTCTTCTAAAAAAAAATCAAAATACCAAATCCAGCCACTTTTCCTTACAAAACTGAGGATTATCCAGTCAAAATGGGGCAATTTCAATTTAATTCAGTTTATTTATAAAGCGCCGCTCCGCAACACATCATCTCAAGGCACTTTACTGAGACAGTTCATCCAGATCATACAGTCGAACTGATTCAAAGTTCTCTATCTAAGGAAAAAGTTGATTGCATCAACTCATTGCCGAAGGCAATCCTTCACACTTAGCATGCTTGTAGCGACAGTGGAGAGGAAAACTCCCTTTTAACAGGAAGAAACCTCCAGCAGCACCAGGCTCAGTGTGAGCGGCCATCTGCCGAGGCCGACTGGGGTTCAAGGAGAAAGAAGCAGAGACACAAAAGGCAATTTAATTCTCATAATTACATTTATATGTCTGGATGGAAATTGAATTAGGCTAACACATTTGAGCCCAAAAAAGCATAAAACTGTGACAGTCGACATTTTTACTACGTTGTTACTTAGTTTTACTTAGTTGTTAATGTTTTTTAAATGTATTTATTCTTTTTTTTCACGGTTGTTTAGAAAAGCTGAGTTTTTTGTTTTAGCCATAATGAATCTCAAAGGTTTCTATTTTTAAACTGGATGCCAAACATTTTAATTTTGGTTTAATATTTCACATCTAAGATTTTTGTAACTCTCTAATCCATCATATATATTTTTAACTGAGGTTTTTCATATTTCACGTGAATCCCTCATAAACAGCAGCGGCATCAAGTAGTCAAACCTGAAATTCTCAAAAGGTTTCTTTAAAAAAGCTAACTTTAAACAAAAAACAAAGCTCTTTTATTCTCATCAATATGTCAAGTGTTTATAGCCCTTTATTGCTCTAAATGACTGAGGAGGGAAGGGACTGTTTTTCATCACATTGTTTTGCTTGCAAAAACTACAAAATAAATCCCGATCCTTTATTAAAGACAATTGTTTCGCATATATTTTGCAGCCTGTAGTAACAGAGGAGAAAGTAAGGTTTTATGATGTTCTCAAAAATGTTGTATAATTGTAATAATTTGATTGTAAACTGATCTAACTTCTATTTCCAGTTCTTGGATTGTTTAAAATAACATGACATGTTGTTTATTTGTTTTGCTACAATTAAAGTGTTTGAGTATGAAATTATAAATCTGCATTTTTGTTTCTGGTAAATATCAAGTGACAAGTTATTTTAATATGTTAAGCATATCATTACTTTTCCCTAAATATTAATTAAAACTTTAACAGCAAAAGACAAATAACATTTGCTAGATCGAAAGCTTTAAATGTTTTCTGGTATTTAAGATGTTTTAACAGACCAATTTACTTAAAACAATAATGAAATAAATCATATAAATAGATATAAATATCTAGATTGTTTATATTTTAAATAAATTGCTCATTCACTCTAACTCCTAATGGCTTCCCTAATACTTGTCTCTGAGTGCTTTAAATAAGGTGTATAAAAATAGTGAAAAAGTAAGTATTATTTCTATTTTTTTACTTTCAACAGGTGTGCATATAATCCTAAGAAATAATTATTTTGTTTTTAACTCTCTGCAGCCTGTTTCTATATTGGAAAACAATAAAGTTCAAAGGAAAGCCTCCTCCACACCGAAGGAGGGTGTCCATTGGTCTATTCTCCCTCTGCAATCACCTGATGAGAGCGAGGGGCAGCGGTGAGCAGACAGACTTCGGGTTATAAGCATCAGCGGAAGAATTGGAAGGACCATTAACCATGCAGGTGGAAAAACGGTTTCCATATAAACGGATAAATAGGGCAGCTGTGGATGCAGATAAAGACTCAATGCGGATTCCATCACTGTGATTTATACTCCGTTTGGCATCGGCTTTCTTGGTGGCAAATTAATAACCCGTCGTAAAGAAGAAGCAGGAGGAGGTGGAAAGGCTTCAATAAAGGACGGACAAAAAGGGGGAGTGCGTAAAAAAAAAGGGGGGGAGAGCAGATAAAACCTGAGCGTGGATCATGAGCTCTGCATTGCCTTACGACTCGCTTTCGGCTCGGCCGAGTCCCAGCAGAAGAGCTCTGGACTTGGAGCGGGAGCAGTTAGCTGTCAGACGACTTTCCTCCCCACTTGGTGTAAACCTGCTAACTCCTCCTCCGCTTCCTCGCCGACCTTCTGCCATCCCAGGCTATCTGCTGCCTCCCTACCAAGAACAAGAGGAACAGCTTCACCAGCAGCTTCAGCGTCTGTCCTTATCTGTTTGCTCAGAAGCATCCCTGGCGCCTCCTGCTCCTCCCCTGGTGGGTGCAGCCCCACCGTGCTGTCACCCAGTGGGAGTCATGCACCTCCTTCGTCTGGGACTCCTGGCTTTCAGCTGCCTCTTCTGGGCGGCTGGATTGGCCATCTTCACCCTAGGTGTATGGGCACAGATCTCTTTGGCGGACTACATGACACTGTCAGCCAATCGGTACCCCAACGCCCCGCTTATCCTTCTCTCTACTGGTGCTGCGGTAACTGCGTGGGGTTTCCTTGGTTGCCTTGGGGTGGCTGCAAACTTGCCCTGTGTCCTGAGGGCCTACGGGTTCTTTCAACTTGCCACTCTAGTTGCCGGTTTGGCTGCTGGACTTTCAGGGCTCTTCTACCGCGAAGACATTGCTGGAGGATTTCGCAGTGGCTTGCAGCGAGCCGTGGCAGGCTACACGGAAGATGAAGGCCGTGCCGACGCTCTAGACAGTCTTCAGAGGGCCTTGGAGTGCTGCGGCGCTGAGGGTTGGCGCGACTGGCTGACGTCGGACTGGGCCATCCAGCATATGACCTTTGTCCCCATGGAGAACGGCACCTCGGTGTCCCTTCCAGACAGCTGCTGCGTGAGGCGGAAGGGCTGCAAGAATCGTCCTCTCCTGTCAGATGACAACGACGGAGTGGCTGCTGCAGGAATCCACCCACATGGCTGCTTTCGTAAAGTCTTCAGCTTGGTCAACGACAATGTCTTCCACATTGCTGCAACTGTGTTAGGATTAGCCTTCACACAGATAGGAGGCATCGCTCTGGCTTGTCTGCTGGCCAACAAACTAGCACCTAGACAGCATGAACGGGTAGTGGCGCACTGATGGTCCATCTAAAGATTTTACTGATCTGATGACCAAAAGGTTCTTAATGAGTGAGGCCATCTTTCTACAGGAAGAAAGCATCAAGCAGATCATTTAAAACTAATGTATCATATTAAAAGATGGAAATTTCCTTCCTTCACATGACCGATATTAATTTTAAGTCTTGTACTTTTTAAGCTGAACTGAAAAACAAAGAATGAGAATGTCCTACGGGTAGCTCAGAACTTAATAATTTAATGCGTTTAAGTTGAATATTACCAGATTCTATGATGCTACATGTTTGGAAACAGACCTGGTTCCTGATTTCTTCCTATTTCTTCAGCTTTTGAGTATTGGGTACCAAATGCTGAGCAAAAAAACTTTCATTTGCTTCATTTTTAACAAGAGAGATAACTTCTTTTGCAGTTGTGACATGAGAGTCTGAATTGAGTTTTTCATGGTTCCTGCACAGATTTCTTGAAATAAATTATTTAGGGGGAAAAAAAAGAAAGCACTGTTTAGGCTTTTAGTTTTAAGGAGGAAAGAAAGGCAGAATGGATGGATGAAAGGAGAGTAATTACAGAAGGAATGAAAAAAGGAATTAGAAACTTGGAAAGGAAGGAACGTTAGATACAAAGAAAAAAGGACATAAGGGGAAAAGGGAGGCTGAACACAGCTTGGAAAGAAGAATAAAGATGGAAGAAAGAAATGGAACAATTGATTAATAAAGGACCCGAGAAGGAAGTAGATGAAAAAGAAAGAAAGAGAGGAAGAGAAACAAAAAAAGGACAAAATATTAGGCAGAAACTAATGAGCATAAGGAAGGAGGAAAGGGAAAAGGAAGTAAAGACACAAGAAGACAAAGAAGAGTGAGAGGAAGGACACACAGAGGAAGGATATGAGAACAAAAAAATCAGGAAATACAAATCACATCTAATATCTTGCTTTCTTTCCGTATAGTTTTCCTGGCTTGGAAAATAGAAAAAAATTCTAAACCTATTTCCAGACAGTGTAGGAATCTTCTATTGAGTTGGATCGAAACGGTTCCATTCTGAGCAACATTACAAATGTGCATCAGAGGAGCAGGCAATGACTATAACCAGCAGCTACGATGATAACATTGCTGAAAAATGTCACAATTCTCTCCAGGACACCCCCCCTTTCCAAATATTTAGGCTCCCATCTGCTTCATTTAATTTTCCCATCACAAAGACGTCGTCCCCGAAACCCTCTGGTATTTCTTGTTGTATATAAACCTGCCTGCAGTCACTTTCACTTTAGCTGGATTTGAGCAGCATTTATCTTTTCCAGATGTCACAGCCTTATCAGATGGTCCCACAGAGGAAAAAATAATTTAATCCCAGATGTACGGCATGCCTAATATCCGGTTTGGCCTCCAATAAGCATGAACACCATCTTGAAATAAGAGTTTTTTTCTCCTTAATGAATGCTGTGTGTTTTTGTAACAAGGAAGTTTTGCAATTCTGTGCACAAAAATAGGTTAGCCTTCATTCCCCCTCTTAAAATGGTGCACCTACACTATATATTGTGTTTATTAACATTGTGTATGACCTGTTCTTCCAATCAGCAGCATGGCTGAGAATGTAAAATATATGTGTCTACTATAAATGAAAAAATCTTTGCTTCATTACAGTTTATTGATTGGACATGGAGGGGATGGAAATGTCAAGGTCTGCTGCCCTTGAATGAATTAAATGTATAAATGGAGGAAGCACCCGTGCAATGCAGCAGTGACTGCATGCAAACACATTATTAGCAAACATATATGTATAATATTTGTATATAATAAACTGTTGTTATGCATATTGTGGTTTTCAATGTGTTGTTATTTTTTCACATTCTTGCCCTTAAAAATGCTGATTGCATTTTATAGAGCTTTGGTTTGAAGTGTGCCAGAGTTGTAAATCTCTTTGTCAGGTAAAAAGTCAATCATTATCCGGATCCTTGGCCAAGTAATTCTGAATAGTAGCCAACTGAATGAAGGCTCAATTCCGCCTGGCACCTGTGACTCAAGTGATTAAAAGCCAGTAAAAGAAACAACATAAACAAAGCTGTGAGAAATAAAACACAGCTTCCTGGTTCCCCATTCATTTTAGAAAAAAAAATATTCAACAGATTTAGAGAGTCTGTGTTAAAATCATATTTACTGGATGTATGTGTGCATGGGGCGGCTGCTATAAGCTGGAACCATGACAACCATTTTCATGATCTAATTATTCTATTGATTAGCCTACATTTTCCTGCAGCAAGCCAAGAGGAGGCTCTCTGTGTGATGTTGCAGCTCATGTTTGACCTATTTTTTTTTTTTTTTTTTTTGACGTGACATCACAGCAACAGCTACAGCACCGGTGAGAGGTCATAATCAATCATCGTGAGCATGAATATCCCATTCATTTTGAGCTTTATTGATTACTTCCTTCTTTTCCCATACTTACCTTTTTCTGAAATTGCAAAATACAGTTGCAGCATGCAACTTTTAAAAGCTCTAAATGTATTTTCCATAATCTAGATAAGGGAATGTTAATGCACAGACTTCCAGAAACAATGTGTAAATTGTCCCTAGCAAGTTGTTGTTCAACCATAACCTTTTTTTATAGCTAATAAAACTCTTCAGGGATAATTCTGGCAGGATATCTGACCACTCTTTCCTGGTACACTTACAGTATAGTCTAGCACTTAGTGTGAGTAATGTTAAGATTTAAAGACAGACTCCCTTTTTTACACAATGATCCTTCCACCACCCAATTTGACAGTTGGTAAAGTTAGGTTTCAAAGCTTCATTTGGACTCATCAGTGTGTAGTTAATGTCATTGTTGGAAGGAGGGCGGAAATGCAGACTGAAGCTGAAGGATGTTACTTGCAGATTTCTTATCCAAAAAGGATTAACAGAAGCAAAATTCCAAAACATAAATCCACAAAATCTGAGAACGAGTAATAGTCACAAGAAGGGGGCAAAAAATTACGACAAACCAGCAAAGAGTAAATAAACAGGAGGAGATTATATGGGAGAGAGAAACAAAGACCAGACTAATTAGCAGATTGGGAGCAGGTGTGAACAGAGGCAGGAAGGGAGCTAGGGAAAAGGAGGCTGACACAAGAGGGCAAACAGGAAATATCTAAGAAAAAAAAAAATCAAAGATAACTAAAACTCAAAAAATGGAAATAAGACCAATGAAACTCAGAGATAAAACTTAAACAGAACCAACTAACTAAATGGAAGTTTTACAATGGTAGGGTTTTGCCCTGCTTTATAGAAGTTCGGCGCAGTTTTCAGTTAAAACAGGACAGTAACCTCAGAATTACCACAGAACTTGTATCTGAATATATATAAAAATGCTAATTTTAGCTTAATCGATCAGAACTGTACATCACAGACTTCCCCTGGCTTCTGGAATATAAATCAGAAGCCAGGGGAAACCCATAGGGGCTTCCTTGTTTGTTTTTCTTTGTTTGTTTTTTATGTAAGGGAAAAACTACACCCAAGACAGAAAGTATTTATCACAGTCATTAAGAGAAACTTGAATTAATATATAAATTCCTGTAAACTGCACTGCTTTAAAACACATATTCTGACCCCATTTTCTTGCGAAATACTTTCAGCTCAGTCTGCATTCACAAAAGGATTTCTCCCAATATTTAAGATTAATGTAATTTTATTGCAAACAAATTACCATTCACTTAAGATATTTTTAATGCAAATCTAGTAAACCTTACACGATATATACTAATTTGCTTAATAAAGCTTATTTATAGGGTTTTACAGGCTGACAAAGAACCCGAACCCCATTCCTGGGGGGGACCCGTTCGTCAGGTTCAATTTGGATGTTTTCTAAGCCACAACAAGGCTTTGTTCTTGGTCCTCTCTATAAAGCCTCAAAGGCAGCGCTATTTCTGACTCTTTGAATTGAAAAAGCTTCCTGGATGGGAAGCGAAACGTATTCAGACTTGGAAAAAAGTCCAGTGGATTGTTGTTTTTTTACTTGTTTGGAATACTTATGTAAAATATATAATCATCAGGTTTATGTATTTAGAATAGGTCAAATATAATAACCCAAACTTAAGTCCTCAGAGAATTATATATTTTAAAATACTTAAAGATTATTGGTTGAATTGCCTAATAATCCGGTAACCTCTTTATGCAATTATAACTAAACTTTATGTTTAAGAAATAATACGTACATAAACCTGAAGATTATGTTTTTCAAATAAATACTATATGTCACGATTGGTTATGGTTTGTTAAGCAGAGGCAGAGGTGAATTTCTTGTGGATTTAATTATGAGTTAACTGAATGCAGAAGCAGGTTATCCAAAATCTAAATATGAAAAACAAAGTCCAAGCTAACGGGAAACCAGGAGTACAAAAACCCAAAAATCAAAACAAGAAAACAAGTCAAAACAAACCAGAAACCCTGGAGACATCAGGGTGATAACAATCACAAGGAGGAAGGCTCATAGAGACGGAGTTGGAGGTAGTATGTAGAGGAACCAGCACTGAACAACTGCACAGAGAGAGTATTTATGGGAGGCTGAAACAAAAGGAGAGCTAACGAGCAGATTGGGAGCAGGTGTGAGCAGAGCAGAAACAAGAAAGGAGCAAGGGAAAAAAGAAGAACTCAAGAGGGCAGCAGAGGGCAACAAATAAAAACCTGAGAACTGAAAATAACCAGAAAACACAACAAAATAAGAATGAAACCACAAAAAAATAGAAAACATGGAACAAGGTAAAACAGAATACACAAGAGAAAACATAACAAAAATCAAGACTATAACACTATATATAGATAAATTTGCATCATGTGGTTTATTTAATAGGTTTGTGTTAAAATTATCTATAAAAAAGTAAATGAAAATTTGTTTTATAAAATTAAAAAAATCTTAAATTCATGTTTTAGGATGTATATATTAGGAGTTTGTGTAATGTTCGTTTTTTATCACCTGAAGGGGATGAATGGGATGCTGATTTTTTATTTAAGTTTATAAAAAGGGGCTGAGTAGCCTACAATGCATTAAAATACAATGAATTTTGTTGCTATGACGTTACAAAATATAAATTTCATTAAAACTGCAAGAAAATAGTCTGACAACGTCCCAAGAACACCTTAGAGATCAAGCTAATAACAAAAAAAAAAAACAAAAAAAAACACACACACAAAAAAACGCCATGCACATGTCTTTCGACTTGCTGCAACTTTTTCCTGGTTTAAAATAAACAATGACTACATAAAACATGGCTTAAGGCTGAATCTGTCTCTGAGCAATCTATCAGCCGTCTCCATCTGACAGCTGTTACAAACATTATTATGTTTACAACTTTCCAAACGGTGCTATTTGGGTCGCAAGTTGATGAAATGTGTACGTAAAAGCGCGTTTCGCACCTTCACCGTGCGTAAAATATGTAAGGCTCTATTTTTGAGCTCTAGGCGTTAGCTCCATTTACTCCGCCTCTTTAGGTCTGCCCCACATCTATCTGCTTTGGGCTCTTTTCGTGAACGCATCCAGCTCTGAGCTCTACCCTTTATTCTCAGTATCACACCCGCTGCCTGCGTAAAAAACAGCGCACCACTCGGAAATGTAGTTATTCTCGCGCAAAAATAGCGGTCACCAGAAAATGGACCTTAAAGCCGAGCTTCTCAAGTCGATTTGGTACGCTTTCACATCGCTGGACGTGGAGAGGTGCGGGAAAGTCTCCAAATCTCAGTTAAAGGTAAGCAAAGAGAGATTAAAACATGAATCACTGTCGAGACAGGTTTTGTTTTTATACAGTTTTGCTTCTGCGTGTTTAAAGCCAGAAGTAGATATTTTAATCTGCTGATTGCCTGTGAGATTGTGTTTTGTGGTATGTGTTGCAAGTTTGGAAAGCCTTTTAAAATGATTTATTTCAAAAGAAATGTAGGCAGAGATATGAGACCAGATCTAAGCTCAAAATCCAGTCTTTGGCTGTGGCCTTGAAACAACTCATCAATTCAACTGTCAGGGGGTTTTGTTTTGATTTATAAAAGTCAGAATATTTTTTCCTATTTTTTTTTTTCCATCCTCAGTAAGTTTGCCTTCCTCTGTCCAGTCTCCACATGCCTGCACTGCTTAGAGGAATCCCAGGAAGTGGCAGATAGCTGTCCTGACATGCTTCCAGCCACAGAGGACAGGCTGCCTCTGCTTGTTTGTCTCTTAGCTGTAAAGCTGTCCAAGGAAACTTAAAAGTGGCACATTTTAATGATTTTTAATTTTTTACTCCACAGGTCCTTTCCCACAACCTCTATACAGTTCTGAACATCCCACATGACCCAGTCGCCTTGGAGGAGCATTTCCAGGATGATGATGATGGGCCAGTTTCTAACCATGGCTACATGCCCTACCTCAACAAATATATACTCGATAAGGTATAACTAAACACTTATTAACCTCATTTATTCTCATAAGGCTTTTTGATATAATATTGTGGATCATGTGATCAAAGTGCACTCTTTAAAGCTTCCCTAGATCTACCCTAAACTACAGAAGCTGCACCATACTGTTCAATGTCTAGATTTTCATTCTTTAATTTACACCTAGATTTCATTCTTTGTCTCATCTGAACAAAGCTTCTTGTTTCAATCTTGATATTTTTTTCAAATATACCATGTTGAACTTTATGATGTTAGGACACCTGATGATGCTTAGCAAAAACAAATATGGCTTCCACTTTTTAATCACCTATTGATCTGACTCTTTATTTTGGTAAATTTAGGTTGTTCTCTTTTTTTTCTCCCCATTTTAAAGATTGATAAAAAAGGTTTTAAAAGATGCAATCTATTAAGAATTATATAGAAAAATAATTGTTTGCAAGCATGAGATGTTGGAGTTTTCTAATTTTCTTTAAGTTGGAGGTAAAGCTTAAAATAATTAGTTTTAAGACCTTTTACACATTGTTATTGGGAGTTAATAAACAAGGACAGGATATACCATTTTATACACAGTGGTGTTTTTTTTAACTAGAAAATGAACCAATATTAGCCTTTTCTATTTGAAGCTGGTATTCCGGTCAGATTCAGACCAAAGTAGCAAAAGCTATTAATGAAATCGTTCTAAACTAAGCAACTTAAATAATTGATTAGGAAGCAGATGTTTCAGGATCAGTTTGAGGACAGAAACTGTCATGTGTCATAAAATTGGCTTCTAAAAAAGTAAAGTGCATATAAATATTACATTAAAACAACAAAAATAAATAATGTCAAATATAATCCAAATATAATCCACGATGATCTGCTTTTTAAAGGGAAATTTAATATGGAAATGAAATTTTAATAATATGTAATTGAGTGTAATTAAGTTTATGAAACCAAATAATCTTAATAATGAAATATTTTCTATTCATATAAATACCAATATCATATTAACTGATGATCTTGCCTTTATTATATATGCCATGTATGAGATTTTTTTAAGCTAAATATATGATTTTTGAATTAACAAAGATTTAAACAACACAAACAGATCAAATAAAAAACATATCTTTTTTTCACTGCGGGGACATTTCATTTGGAACATCATGGCTTTTGCAGCATAAAATTGTCAAACCATCAGCACAGCATAACAAGAGCAGGATGTAGAATAAGGTGCAGTGAAGGGGGAGAGTCTAAAGACGAATGAAAACTATAACATGTCCAGAACGTTCTGTTAGTCCCTGCTCTCCTGTCTCTGCACTGCTATCCTTAAGAGAGCTGTAAAAACAGGCTGGAGCAGGGTGGGACGGGTCCTGGCTCTCCTCCAGTGTTCATGGCATCCAGATCCGGGTGATTACACCCAACAATCCCTTTTCTTCATGCTTCTAACATCTATGTTGTTAGTCTACTTATTGTCATTCCTTAATAATAAGAAAGAGGAACTTTAGGCTTCTAACTAGATCGGAATGACTATGACCTGGATGACTGAGAACCTTCATCAGCATATTCTAACTAGATCCAATGTCAGGAATGGATGTGTTCGTCCTCCTGAACCTCCTAAAATCCACAACAACCTCTTTGGTTTTGCTATTGTTCAAGACGAGGTTAATATTTGAGAACCACTAGATCAAATCGTGGGTCTCTGTGGTTAGTCTCTTCGTTGTCCTTCCTTAACTTCCCAGGCTGGAATGGATAGCAGAGCAGTCTTAGTTAATATGTTATAGAAGAGTATAAAGTCCTACCCCAGGAAGACAGAGAGTGGAGCAGGCCCCAGTTCATGAGTTTCAGTAGTAGTTTTTTGGGATTACAGGTAATCTATTTCCTCAGTTGTAGCAGAAAGTAATCACCAGTTGTGAGTACCTTTGACTTAATCCAAAACAATAGCAACAGAGTTTTGTTACCAATGATAATGGGGTAACAGAGGATCCACTGGAAATATTTTAAGACCACCCATGACAGCGCAAGAGGGCCGTCATCATTCTCTAAGGTAATATTTGGGTTTGAGACAGCTGCAGGGACCACTTTAATATGCCATGAATAACTCCTGCCAGCTGGTCAGCACATGATTGCAAAGCCCAACCAAACACCTTGACCGGTGTATTGGTTTTAATCGTTTCTGATGCTGCTCCTTTAGCTGTGGTAGGTGAACCCTCTGCTGGTCACAGGTCGGGTTATGACCTGTCCTACTAGTCACTGCACCTTTACTTTTTGGGGTCAAAGCATTCTTGGCCCTACTTTAACCCCCCCTTACCTGTAAGCAGCAGCTGTGGCTCTGACCTCTCCAGCTGTTTCTGGTTGGGGAAAAAAGTGAATGAAAGGTGATGGGAATTCCTCATTTTGGTATAATTGTTCATCTGCTGGCTGATCACACAGGGCTACAGCTTCTGCAGTAGTAGCTTAGCATTATCTCTGATGGCTTGTAGTTTGCTTTGATTATGACTAAGAAGATTCCTCTCCCTAGAGCTGAAAATTCCAGATGTCATTATCTAAATACCATGAGTTGTAAAAATTTGCCACCATTCCTACTACATTTCTAGCCTGACGTAGTCCTACTCAATTCTAGTCAGGGGCGGATCTAGAAAAATATTTATGGGGTGGCGAGAGGGGGGCAGGAATTTTTGAGGGGTGGCAACATACGGCATTTTTTTTTTACAATGAATTTAATCACAATTATCACAGTTTGGTGTTTCATTTGAAAAAGTTCATATTAGAAATACATCGTACAATGTGATCTCACTTAATAGGAGATAGAAGAATGATAAAACTACTTCTAGAGGGGCATTATCACAGGAAAGGTATTAAGGTGAGACACAGGTGCTGAGTCGCAGATGAGTGAGATTGATTGTCAGAGAGGAAGCTTTGCAGCATTTGCACAAGAAGAAATGATAGAAAGAAAAAGTTACCCATCAGAGATCTATGGACTGAGCTGTTCTAAAGTGAGCATCACTACACAGTAGAGATAAATGGGTCAAGGCACCAAACAAGGTACCGGACATCAATGCATTGTTTTCTCTGAACACACATTTATCCCATTTGTTCCTCAGTAACTTGACATACAGCAGTTAAGGCAACATGAAAGGGACATTTCATGCATGTAGATATGCTGTAGATAGAGCTGCTGTATCAACAAATCAACAAAAAGGCAGGTACTGTATGTTACATAAAAATCTCCACAAATCTGAAAAAAGCAACATAAAAATAAATTTTGCTTCCAGTCTGAAAAAGTACAAAACATTTGTGTGAGTAGGTTCATACCGGTCATTTCTGGATTGTTTCATACTATATATACAAAAAAAGAAACAACAACACTGCTTCATGTTAAGCAGGATTTATACCAGCATCACATTTTTAACTTTACTTTGAACACTTTTGGTTTTATTAAAGTAAATATCAGATTTTCAGGTGCCAAAACAAAATGTAACAGCTCTGTAAAGGCTCACCAGAGAGCATAACATAAAGTTGACATGACTATAACAGCTGAATGCTGTGATTTCCATGTTGCTCAGCAAAACGCTTCACAAATTTATCTAGATCCAATGCCTTTGTGCGTTTTGATTTGAGTAAAACCAAACTTGATCGTCTCTTTTCTGTCATAGTTGATCGCAAATATGTCTTTATGAGCCTGAAACGTCAGGCCTAACTAACATCATAGTTAGAGAAATAACTTTCTGTAACCTGATTTTTATCATCTCAAAATCAGCATTGCAGCTATGCTAGCAACATTGTGCTTTCATTATGATTTAATTTCTCTATAGATAGTTTTCATCCCGTGTCTCCTCTCCCCATGACCCCTGGCTCCCTCGCTTTGCCTCATTCGGTTTTAAAAACAAATGAGTCTCAGTCGCTCTTGCGTCATCTCGTGCTGCATTCACTGCAGTCCGACATTGGAAATTAGCGGTCGTAATTCTCAAATTATCCATAATTTATAAACCTCGCCACCCCTACAGCCAACTGGGGTGGCAGCAGGGGTGGCAAGGCTGTCATTTAGGGTGGCATTTGCCACCCTATGCCACCCCAGTAGATCCGCCTATGATTCTGGTCAGAATATGAGTCTGATACTGCTCCATAGAGCTGTGATTATGGGGCGTGTTTCGAACGAACCAGGAAAAAAATGCCTCTGCACTCAATTGGATAGACCTAGAACCAATAAGAGCAACAGAGTGCGTGACGTAGGTTAAGCCAGGCACAGTTGTTGGGAACAAAAATCAAAGCGTGCAGTTGCACGCCTAGAATAAGAAGATGAGCCTTGATCGTGTTTCTCTGTTCCTCTTTTAAAATTAATTTGCTGTCGATATCTTCTAGAACAGACCTAATAGCAGAATCTACACACCTCAACTCTCCAGCGGCAGCCATTGTTGTTGTCACCCAAGCGCGCTTTGGTCACGTGGTTGATTACGTTACTGTTGATCATCTGTCCATCATCGTATAAAGCCCGCCCTGACTATTTGATTGGGCTGCCAGATATTGTGCGAGCATACTCGCGCTACTACTGAGCAATGCCAGACCGAACTTCCCGACCTCAAACGTTGTGGGTGGGACTAAGTTCGGAATGGCACCCAGGCTACTACATTTCTACACTAAAAAAAAAAAATGCCAAAAACTGTTGCTTTATTTTTTCCGTTTACCTTCAGCAGCTGCCTCTCCACACCCTCCTAGCTTTACTGTACCATATAGAATATATTAATGGAAGTAAAAATCCTGTTATAATCCATATTAATCCATAATAATGATTGTTTAGTTTACTGTAAATAAGTGTCTTTTTTGGCTAAATGAAACTAAGATATCAAGGGTATGAAAGAAGCCCAAATGTTAGACTAATGTTTGGACAATTGTGCTTATATTTTTTATTTTAACAGAAAATTGACAAAAAAGGGGTATTTAAGAACAAAAAAATTGTTTTCTTGATGCATTATAAATATGATAGTAGATATGAGTGTGGAATCAGAAATAAGGGTCACAACTAAAGCAAATCTGTTCAACTAAATCCTTGGTTACTGGTGACAGAAAGTCAAATTGTATAAAGAAACTTCTTAAATGTTTTATAGTTTAAAAACTATAAAAACATTTATAAAAACATTACATGTTTTTTGTTTTTTTTTAAGTTTTAGGGTTGGCTAGCTTTGATACTCTATTAAGGCCTTAAGGCTGAAAATGCGTCTTGCAGAATTGAAGTTGTTGGTTTAAATCCAGCATCCACTATGTCATCCTACAAAATCACACCATTCAAACTTATACTAACCACAACATCTCAATGTGAGCTGTTTTAACACATTGCATGAACTGAAATGAGAATGTCACCTGATAAAGCGCCATCAAGCAGCTGTCGTATTAGTCATCAAATTTATTTTTGTGTGTCTTATATTGAATATTTTAAAAGGTTACCCGGGAGTACCTCATATATTCATGCTTCTGGTTAATGTTTCTCTAATCTTGATGCTGAAGGGGTTATTTTTAGTGGGAACTGACCTTGACATGATATTTATAAACGCCATTTTATCACGTTTTCTATGAACCAGTGTTATTTTAAAGGAGGGTTTAATTTGAAGAAGGTTGATCCTTTCTTTTTACAATTCCAGGTGAAAGAGGGGATGTTTGACAAAGAAAGGTTTGACGACCTATGCTGGATGATGACCATGAAGAAGAACTTTAAAATGTCGCAGAGGTTCCTGCTGTCGGAGAAGGATTGCTTTAAGCTCTTCTGTTTGTTCAACCTCCTGTCTGAAGATAGCTACCCGCTAGTGATGATCACAGAGGAGGTAAAACATAAATAATAATTGAACTTTATTGATCTCACACTGGAGAAATTCACCTCTGCATTTGACCCTTCCCCTTGGGGAACAGTGGGCAGCCATTGTGCAGCGCCCAGGGAGCAGTGTGGAGTTAAGGGTCTTGCTCATAGAGGTAGAGTATAGGCTGTGAGGATCCAACCGGGTATTTGCAACCTTCTCATAGCACAAGAGCACTGCTCTAACCACTAGGCCTTGCTTTACCAGCTTTCATGTCTGTTCGTGGTTGTGAAGGGATGTTTTGCAGGAGAAAATTTAAAATAATCGCATAAAATATGAGAAATGGAAGACGTGTTAAGTGTCTGTGTTTATAAAAAACTGTTTGCCCAGAAAAGTGAAGAACATTTGGAACAAAATAGAAATTAGAAACCAGAAGTCACATACGTGTATGATTTAGAAGTGAAATTAGGGGTTTTCCTTAGCAATATAATAAAAATAATGAGTGATTTCTACTCTAGAATGAGTGTTATGGAGCCCCCAAAAGTGACCCTGACAGTGAGCTGGTTTCAAATTTCCTCACAGTGAATAAGAATAAAAGCACAAGTAAGTTAATGAGGCCCTTCCTTCCTCCATTTCCTCCATAATGCTTTGGGTTTCCTGTATGTCAGAGGCAAAAATACCCTTTTGTTGTACACTATGCATAGCAGTGTCGTCTTGGAAATGCAAAAGAAAACAACAACAAAAAAACAGCCTTTCTGTGGTTTAAAGCCTTTTTTTAATGTTCCCTGTTGTGGTATTTCTGCTAAACCTTTTCCTGCATTTAGGTAGAGTATCTCATCAAGAAAATCTCCACAGCAATGAACCAAGAGTGGGATACAAAGCCCTTAGAAGACCTTATATCTCAGGATCCCACTGTGCATGAAGAGGGCATGTCTGTGTGGACGTTCCTGGAGCATATGTGTACAGGCCGGCTGCTTCGGGTCACTAGTGCGGAGGCCTTCAGCTTGGCTTTGGAGGAGGTCTTCCTGGAGATGTATCACAACGTCCTAAAGAGGGTGGGTAATCTGAGTCCCCTCAGGAAGCACGCCTGCTCTCTAAACATATGCTGCTTTGTTTGATCCCGATGCTTTTCCTCGTTTCCTAGGGTTACATGTGGAAGAAGGGGCACATGCGCAGGAACTGGACCGAGCGCTGGTTCGTGCTGATGCCCTCCTCCATAGCTTACTATGTCAGCGAGGACTTGAAAGACAAGCGAGGGGAAATTCAGCTGGATAAGAACTGTGTGGTAGAGGTGGGTGAGGAAACACGTCTGGCAGGACTTTGACCCGCCCAGAATTTGCGTTTGACAAAACACATTATCCAGATCTGAGCTCCCCTTTTTTTTCTCCTGTTTCAGCCTGTTCCAGACAGGGAGGGGAAACGCTGCCTCTTCTGCGTGAAAACCCACAACAAAACCTACGAAATGAGCGCCTCTGACCAGAAGCAGAAGGTGGAGTGGACTCAAGGTGTGAAAAAGTCTTTCCCACGTGGGCAGCTGTTAAATCATCAGCAAAAATTATATTAGCCTTCAAAGTTACTGAAGGCTAATTTAGATGCATAAAAAAGACAAGAACATTTAGATTATGTTATTACTGTAGCATAACGTCACAGATTACTCACTACAAAAAATTAAAAAAGTCAATTATTCTTCTATTATTTTCTTAATATTTAATTATCTTATTATAGGGATAAAAATACTCATTCTTTCGGCAGATAATTTTATTTACCTGTTTAAAATTCAAGGTAAATTCACTTATTTTAGAAATACTTATTCATTTAGAGCATTTTTTGCAGCAAAACCAGAAAGAACAAAACGTCTTAATTATTTCAAACAAATGCATTTAAAGCTTTTTCTGTCAGCTTACTGATGATTAAAAGAAAATGCATCAATGGATTTTATTGCAGTTGATGAGATTAAAAATTAATTCTCGCATTTGTAAAAATGTCAAAAACTGGGTTTCATTTCCCTTTATCTATTTCTATGTTGTTCTTTATGTTGACATATCACATAAAGTACACCTGCTTTCCTTTCTTATTTAGGACTTTTCAAACGTGTTTTCCGACTGGTGCCAAATTCTCTCAGAATGGATATAAAGTGATTGTCTTGTTTTGAAGGAGAAAAGATAGGTTTAAAAATAAACTTTCAAAAAGGTTTCTGCAACCATAACTTTTGTTTTTGTTATAAATAGTTCAATTAGTTCAGTTTGTGTCATGAAGTGGTGCTCAATCAGAAAGCCCTGCACACATATAACGAGTAAACAAATGCATTTTCTCTCCAAAGTACAAAGTTTCTAATTCAAGTTAAAATCCCTCAGGCTAGTCAAGTTCATTCAACTATGAAGAAATATTTACACCTACCTAAAATGTAACTTGTTTTACTTAAGTGAAGGTTAGAATGCTCCGCCCCCTTCCAGCCAGCCTCCTTCATTGGTTGAAAAAGAGATTGTTAATCTCAATGGGACTTTTCCTGGTTAAAATAGCATTATGTATAAACTTCTTGTAACCATAGTTTCTGGGGAAAGTCTGCCTGTCACCTTCAGCTCTGAGACATGTGAGGGTTTTCTAGAAAGTCACTTAGCTTAGATTTGAATTGTATGGATATACATGGATGTAGAAGAGCATCCCTCCACCATGACACTTCCTCTTCCATACTTCACAGTGAGCATGACGTTTTTTCCTGAAAAGCTTTATATTTGTTTTTGTTTTTTTTGTTTGTTTGTTTTTGACAAACTTGTTTGAAATCCTGATGTGCAAATAATGATTTTTTTTATGTATCAGTGAAAAGTCCTGCTATTTGAATTCATTCCCTGCAGCAAACTGAATGTGATCTTTACAGATCCTTTGAAAACGTCCCTTTAAAGTGCAGTTGTTGAGACAGGCACAGTTGCCAAGAGACTGTTGTGATTTACAAGAGGTTTTTAGGTTTTCTGGGGACTTCCTTGAGTATCCTACTATCTTAGTGTAAAGATACTTTAATGGCCAGACCTAAGCATATAGGGAGAGGATAACACTGCTGCCTTGCAGCAAGAAGGTTCTGAGTTTGATTCCTGAGTTTGATTCCCACCCTGGGGTCTTTCTACATGGAGTTTGCATGTTCTCCCTGAGCATGCGTGGGCTCCTTTGTGTTGTACAAATTTGGTTTTAAATATCCAGCAATAAAACATGAAACACAGGCTGGATTTAAAGTTTATAGATTTGAATATAATAAGATTTTTTTTTTCTTTTAAAGAAAAATAAAGCGTATTCTTTAAAATTTGATAGATATTATACTATGACTCCATCATTTCTGTGTTACTGTTACGTCCCCTGACTGCGTCTATGAGGTATAAGGGACCAACATAAATTTAGACAGGGAATGAAGCAGTCAAAACAGCATTTAAAAACATTTATTCTGCCATTTCTTTTAACACACATAAACACATAACCTAACCGGCACATAAACGGGAGAAAACTGGGGTTAAACAAAAGGCAGCTCTCACCTACAAAAAAAACATCTGAGCAAATATACATAGCAGCAAATTACCGGCCCATTAGATGCTACAACAACCAGAGAGGTGTATGGCAGACAACTGGCCCAGAGGCCCTGAAGAACAGCTTCACAGGCCTTAAATAGTCTGAAGGTGGTCTTGATTGTGCTGAGACTCAGGAAGCAGCATCCAACAGAGCAAAGTTTTACTTGGGTGCAAAAACAAAATTGTTACTTTTTTTTTTTTAAGTGATAGTGAAAGATTAGTCCTGAATTCAGTCTAAATATTTGCCAAGACCCTGAGAAAACTTGCAGACTTCACACAAAAGTCTTGTAAGGTAAATTATCATAGAAGCAATGACTATTCTGATTGTTACATATGCCTGTGTCTGCATTGCCCTGTTTAAGTAAAAGGTGTTTTTGTTTTTCTAAACTCGACAGCTATTCAAACTGCCCTCCGTCTTCAGCGAGAAGGTAAATCCTCTCTTCACCACGAACTTAAGCTGAAACGCCGCATCCAGCGGGAACAGAGCAACCGGGAGCGCAGCCGGAGCACCCGGAGCAGCTGCAGCAGCCGCAGCAGCCGGAGCAGCCAGTCCGACGACTTAAGCTTCCAGGAGATGGAGAGGATGGAGAAAGAGAAGCAGGATTTGGAAATCGAAAGCATCATTCAGGTAGGATGGAGCACAAAGGTGGAGCTTATCCTCATTATGCTTCATGATGTTTGTGCTTCATCTGCTGTGTGTTGTGCAGCATGCCCGAGAGTTGGAGATTCGCAGAAGGGAGACGGAGGAGAGGGAGAGGAGGAAACAGAGAGAGGTGCAAATGGATTTGGAGAGACAGCTGAAAGAAGCTGAGATGGTTAGTTAAAACTGTAAAACCCAACCAGCTTATTAACTCTGTGGTGCAGGAACAGCAGCAAAAATCTGGCAAAATAAAAGTCAGTCTGCAGCTGTGTACCTGTTTTTGTCCAGATGAGGGACAGCATGCAGGCCGAGATCCAGGAAAGGGAAAGAAAGGCTGAGCAGCAGAAGATAAGGATCCAGGAACTAGAGGTGACGCAGCAGAAGTTGGAAGCAGCTCTAAACATGGAGATTCAGGCTCGGCTGGAGGAGGAGAGGGCCAGACAGGAGCTGGAGAGGTTACACCTGCTTTCTTATCTCACATTATAAGCAAGTGTGAAGGTTTCTTTTATTTTTTGCTTAAAACATTTTGTTGCATACTTTCTTCTTAGATTGCTTGAGGCTGAAGATGAGAAGAGGAGGCAGTTTCAGATCCTCCAGGAGCAGGACAAGATCCTCCAGAACTTTAGCTCCACACACGAAGCCTCCAACGGAGCAGTAGATGACAGCACCCCTTCGGCCCTCTACTCAGCCTCTCTGGAGCTTCAGAATTTACAGGCGTCTCGTCAGAGGAGCCATCAGCGTCTTGAGGTGAAACTAAAAACAAACACGAAAGACAAAAAGAAGCTAGTTTTAGAGTGAAGAAATACAAACACAGTTGTGGCATTTGGTTGATTTCCAGGAGATGCAGGAGAGGCTGAGAGATGCCAGTCAGCACGTACGGCACTGGAACGTCCAGCTGAACCGTCTGATGAAGCCTATCTCTCCTGCAGGTACAGTATGATTGTACTCCATTGGGAATGTTGCATGATAAAGCTTTTACCAATAGAGCAACATACACCTAGACAACAAATATAAAAGGCAGAATTTCTTCAAAACAATAATGCATTCATGTGCCTCGGCTCCACCGTTTCAGTGTAGAAATTAAAGTATTTAGTCAATCATTGGCTGTGCAAGTTTTCCTGCTTAGAAAGATGAGAGAGGTGTATAAATTTAATCTTAAGTACACTTTGACTAAGACAAAAGTGTCATAGTCAAAGTGTACCTACTTTGGCAAAAGTGCAACTCATTTTTGGCACATAGGACCTAATTGGTTACAGACAGCAGATTAAAACCTTTATTCAGTGGTGCGAGGAACTTTCTGACTCTTAATGTTCAAAAAACACAAGACCCGAGGGCAGTTGGAGTCCAGTGGTCATCCATAATCAATTAATTGCCCAAGCAGATTCCTTGAAATATCTTGGATTAAAAATCGACAATAAATTATTGTGGATTGCTCAATGATTATGTCTGCAACAGGGTCCAGCAGTGGCTACATCTTCTGCCCAGGCTGAGGGCCTTTGGTGTCAGTCAGAAAGTCATGCTGCTCTTTTACCATGCTGTTATATAGAGCATCTTTAGGTATGGCTTTTCTTCCTGGTTTGGTAATGTTGAAAAACACCATCATGGTGTTTTTTTAATGGAGCGCATTACCGGCTCTTTTTATTATCTTCATAGGGGAACATCTTACAGTTTCACACATATAGTCCCACAGAATGATCATATTCCCTACTTCCCATCTCCATGTATGGAGTTGCTTCCTGTCTTTTTGCTTCTACCTTGTTAATCAGCTTTTTCTGCGTGTGTGTGCGAGCAAGGTCATTCTACCCTCCTCCCCTCTGCAAGCTTTGGCCTAACACCTGGGAATACTAAATTTGCTGCCCATCCTTAGATTATACATGGCATATACTTCTTCAATATGATCAATACGTTTTGCTGCAGCTTTAATTTTGCTCTTTACTTCTTTTAGCTTAAAACATGTCTAAATATCTTCAGTAACCTGTCTGACCAAATGAAGGCATAACTTAATTGCCTGACTCAAAGAGTAATGAAGTTGATGGGAGTCAAGCAGCACCCTTCACTTCAGACCATCTTCAATGAAACAATAACCAGACAAGCCCAGAAAATCATCTCAGACTCCACTCATATTCTTTATTCAGAGTATCAGTTTCTTCCTTCAGGTTGACATCTTAGACTCCCTGCCTGTAGATTGAACCGCTATAATTACTCACTTGTTCCGCTTTCCATTAAGTTAATAAACAGGATCGAGCAGTAAATTGTGGAATAGGCAATGGTATTCAAAATTTAAACTAAACTGACATGCTTTTTATGTATTCATTATCCCATATAACAGATTTTTAAAGAAGGGTTTTTATACATTTTTTTTATGTATGTTATGTAACATGCTTTCTTATGTATTTATTTATTGTCTTATAATGGAATTTCTATAGCAGTGCTTTTATGTGTGAATGCAGTGTGACAGACAGTTTGGACTATGCAGCACCCAGACTCTGTACCCAAATCAAATGTTCTTTGGGACGATAAAGTTAATCTAATCTAATCTAAAATAAGAAAAAAGGTCCAGGGAATATTATTGTAGGATTGCTAAAGAACGTATTTGTAAATTAAGTTAAAAATGAATATTTAGTTATACACAAAAAAGAAAGCATTCTGTCCTGATCAGACCTGTAACTTCTTCTTTAAGAAGCTCTTCTGTCCACCACTCTTTAGCTGTATCAAGTGAAGGGGAAATTCCCAATAGTGGACTCTTGATCCATTACTCCTGACTGTTTGGTCAGGTTTGCAGAGCACCTTAGTCACAAACACCTTTGTGCTCTTCTTACCACAAATTTCCAGTGCGAATGAGATCAGGACCTTGTTATGTCCCTTTTGTCCTTAAGATTCTTTGAAACAAATTTGGTGGTATGTTTGTGGTATTTGGCTATTTAAACGGAGCAAACATTCACCAGCTTTAACTTCCTGGTTTATGTCCTTTACAAGAATCAGCAAAGACAAAATAAACAGAATAAACCCAAGCCTCTTAGATGTTTTGAGTGTTGCTATATTATCTCCATGTAATCCTATTCCCCATGTTGACATTTTTTTTATATAAAATCTGCAACAAAATCCTCCACAGCATGATGCTGCCACCTCTTTACTTACAGTTAGGATTGTGTTTTCTGCTACCCCATTTCCCACTGGCTGAAAAACCTCTTTAAACCCGGGAAAAATTGCCTTTTAGTGGCAATGGAAACAGCTCAAAGTGTTAAAATCGCCTCGGCTCTGATCAGCATGCCGTGGGAACACCAGTTCCAGGTTGACCCGCTACATTACGTGACACAATCGAGCTTAACGTACAGACGTAAAGACACCGCATCTGATCTAACAAGCCGAAACAACTCTGTACATTTGATAAACATGGCACAGCACTGGTAAGAGGGATTCTGAAAGATAATAGAGCAAAATAATAAAGCGTATTTATTACGCCCTTGCTTCCTGACATGTGGCTCTCCATTGTTTACTTTCCTGATTTCTTTCACACTGGTGACAGCATCAAAGCTAACCCAGCCTGATGGTGTCACCAGACTTGTAGCCGCAGGGCAACAGAGGCCATGCAGCTTGCCAGCAAGGAGTTAGGCACAGCTTTCTTTGCCAATGGGAAGGGAGCCAAATGAAGATTGTTAGCGGGTCGACCCATGTTTGAAAAAAACACCCATTAACCTGGTATTTATTGTGGGAAAGAGGCTTAAGCGTCTCCATTTTTCCAACCAGACACTTCAGTTTAATGTGTCTGGCTGTGTGTTTCCTGGACGGGGCCGCCTTTTACAGCTGCTTTTTGTATCTCTGCTTCTGTCTCCTTGAACCCCAGTGGGCCTCAGCAGATGGCCGCTCACACTGAGGCTGGTTCTGCTGGAGGTTTCTTCCTGTTCAAAGGGAGTTTTTCCTGTCCACTGTCGCTACAAGCATGCTTAGTGTGAGGGATTGCTGATGAGTCAATGAGTCAATGCAATAAACTGGTTTTCTTTAGATAGAAAACTATGAATCAATTTGACTTTATGATCTGGTGAACTGTAAAGTGCCTTGAGATGACATGTGTTGTGAATTGGCGCTATATAAATAAACTGAATTGAATTGAACTTACTGTTAATGGTCAGATAAGCCTGATAAATGAACAGGGAATGAGGAAATGAAAATAAAAATGGACTCAAAGTTGAGGTTTTATTTCAGCTCATCTGTACCTCTATAACAGGAGACACATGATTACTGAATTCTAATTACATTTTCTTAAAAAAGAAATTTCAGTTTTTATCAACCCATGATGTAAAAACTATTAAATTTTATCCAACCAGCGGCAAAACTAAAATTTTAAATTGCTCAACAGGATCTTCAATTTCTTAGTGACATACAAGTTATTATTTTGGTACAAAAATTGTAAATGGAAATATTACAAAATTAACTTCAAGATCATAAGCGATTTAAAATGTGTGCTTTTTTTATTTGCTTTGTAGAACGTTTGGAAAGTCGTCTGCAATCGAAAAATACATGTCCCAAAAAGGAGGGAGCGCTGGCCAGCAACGAGTTCATCTGTAAATACAAGATAAGGAACGAACAGAACAACAGGTTACAAGAAGAGGAGTCTGAAAGCCTGGAGGTGCAGCTGGAAACCCCCTGCCTGTCAGGGGAATCAGGATGTTAGGGTTTTCATGCATTTCATATGTAATTTATCTTAAGATAGAACAATACTGTAATTACACTCTGAACACTTGCAGTGTAATAAAATGCAATAAAAAAAGCTTTCCTTCGAAGAAGATAGAAGTGTGTGAATGAATTACAGGGGAACCCCATTAGAAAGATGTGATCATGACAGATAAAAGAATAAAAACCAATTCTTTCTAAAAGGCATTAAAGAGGAAATGTTCACACAGAAAGAGTTGAGTCATATTTAGAAGAGCGGGATGATAATCAAAAATAACAATCTGATTGGCAGCCACTAAAAATAATAGTTTTGTACAATTAATTCTCTGTTGCATCTGGGAAAAAAAGTTTTGTCATGTTTATTGTAAGAGTTCAAAGTCTGTATCTATTTTTAATGGTTTTCTTTTGCTCTTTTCTGGCTGTCATTTTGTGGTCGAACAAATAGGAAATGATGTGATGAAGAGAAAATGACATGAAGAAAGTTTGTTGCTCTTGATCTACACTAAAACATACATAGACAATTTCTGTAATTGAAGAACAAAGTTACATATAGATCTACATATAGTGTGCAAACATTGAATTAATCATTAAAGAACAGACGGTGTATTCAAACAATAAATAACATTGTTAGAGTTAAGGCCAATTTTTTAAAGATTGAAATCTCCCCCTTTTTAACAAAAGGAACTGGTTCATTCTACATGGACATAGTTCCTACATCCCTGTAAAACCTGTAAATGTTTGGCTGAAATTTGATGTGTATCTCAATAAATCTGTTTGAAATTATGAAATGTTTATTATTTCACTTGTACAACAGCTGACAAAACACTTAAATACACTAAAGTAGTTACATTTCTGAAAACAAACAAAAAACAACTTCTGTCCTTGTGGTTTCCTTAAATTAATGAAGTGTGAAAAAATATAAATTTCAATCAGAGGGATTTTATGTTCCTTTCTCATTTCACACAGGAAGATCAATATTGATGCAGCCCACCTACATACATTTCCGTTGCTGAATAATCAATGGGTTTTGTGTAACTTCAAGGTAATTTTGATGTAATTTACCAAATTTGACATTATATTTATATGTATATTCTTTCATGTTTGTCAAAGAGATATTAAACAAACTACTGTGGTGTTTTATTTTATTTGTATTTAAACCAAAATGAGTTTCGAAGAAAAGTAATTAACGGACTATTTCTATTATTTAAAAAACAACTTATGAACTATATATGCTAAATATAGCGTTATTATAACGTTATATAATATATATACATGTTGGCCAGAGGTGGCGCTGTAGGACGGAAGCGCCATATTTTCAAACCGGAAATGAAAGCAGTTTTCTAAACAACATGGCTGCCTCCTCACAGCTGTCATGCCGAGCAGAGAAATTAGTTCAGTTTGGACCATTTTTACTTTTTTAAAAGTGTTTTGGGATTATTTAAGCAAGCTGTGACTTGTTTTTATTAATTTCAGCATCAAAAGCTGTTGGTATGGCTGCAGTCTTCAGAGGGAAGGTCAGGACGGTGGCCTCTTGGAGCAGGAGACTGTCAACCCAGCAGCAGTCTGGACCTCAGGAGTCTCCAACCGGGGGCGAGTTACTTGCAACGAGGGGTCGCAGACAGAGAAAAGATCCCAGCGACCGTTCTGTGCTTCTCTTCCCCGGACAGGGCAGTCAGTTCGTGGGTATGGGTAGAGGACTGACAAAGTACCCAAATGTGAAAGAGATGTTCTCCGCAGCGGAGAATATCCTCGGCTACGACCTGCTGTCTCTGTGTTTGAAGGGTCCGGAGAAGGAGCTGCAGAAGACGGTGCACTGTCAGCCGGCGGTGTTCGTCACCTCTCTGGCTGCTTTAGAGAAACTGCACCATGAAAACCCAAAGGTCATAAACACTTAACCCTCATCGGTGTTTGGATTTTAACTGGAGATTAATGCAAGAGAATACCTGGTATTTTTCAGCACTGTGAATGTGTTTTTAACCTGTTTTACGTGCAGATAAATCCACCACCTTCTTGATAGATTAATTATCCCTTCTTACTATCATCAAAAGTGAACTAAAACTTATTTTTCATCAATTGTTTGCAGTTTATTAGAACTTCCAGATTCCTGGTTTCTCTTATCTTCTCTACCTAATAAGCATCTAAGCCTCAAACACTGCTGATACTTTGTGTTGTGCTTCCTTTTCAACAGGCCATCGAGACGTGTGTCGCTGCAGCAGGTTTCAGCGTTGGTGAATTTGCTGCTCTTGTCTTTGCTGGAGCCATGGACTTTTCAGAAGGTAAGCAATGCATGCTTTTTAAACACAGATTGCTTTATCTATAGAAGGTTTGTTGGATGATCTCTAAAGCTTTTCCTGCTTTCCTTTTCTTCTAGCTTTATATGCAGTAAAGGTGCGTGCAGAAGCTATGCAGAAAGCCTCTGAGCTGACTCCAAGTGGGATGCTGTCGGTTGTCGGCAGACCTCAGGCTCAGTATAAATACGCCTGTCTTCAAGCTAAAGAGCACTGCAAGAGTCTAGGGATCGAGCAGCCGGTTTGCTCTGTGGCCAACTATTTATTCCCTGATGGCAGGGTTATTGCTGGCCACCAGCAGGTATGGAGCCACATACAGGTTAATTTTCTTGCATTGATAATTTTTTTGATATAACCTTGTGCTTTTATTTTAGGCATTGGACTTTCTCCAGCAGAACTCACGGACTCTACAGTTCATGAGAACCAAACCTCTACCAGTTAGTGGTGCTTTCCACACTGAGCTGATGGCATCTGCTACTGAACCTCTCAGAGAGGTGCTGCGACAGGTGGAGGTCAGTCAGCAAACACTTGATTCAGGCTGCACGGCTACTCCTTTACACGTGTTGTATGACCTTCTAACTTTCTTAAGGATTTTGTTATCTTGTCAGTAAAATAACATTATACAAAGTAAATCTAATCTTTTAAAAATTACCTTTCTTTTTATTCCTTGAAATAATAATGGAGTTTTATTTTATTTTAATGAGCTATTGACCACAAAAGGTGAAAAAATGCTGCAGCTATTCGGGAACCAAAGTGATATAAAGTATAAATGTTTATAAATGATAGATAAAAATGCAATAATGTAATTAGTTAAATAGCAAGCATTTTTCTTAAAGCAAAGCTGTGTAACTGTTAGCCACTAGGGGTGCTAGACCTGTATCGTCTTGGTTTAGCGCCCCTGAACTGGCAGAATTCCATTGTTGCTACATTAATTGGTCACAATTAGGTCTCAACAGCGGAACAGTGGATTAAAAAGTCCTAAAGTAGCTTGTAAATTCAATGAAACCTTCATTCACCCCTCTAGATTCAATCCAATATCAGAGAACCACAAGCATGTCTGATCAGCTAAGGGTCTCATCGGTTTTTTGTCTGACTACAACGTTTTACGGTTCGCTCTTATGTTTAAGTAGAGCTAAGATTGCTTCAAAGTGGCTCTTTGGGTCACATGACTCATTCAGTGACGGATCTAATCCTCTCAAGTTACATAAACCTGTTTTTAAGTAAGGCAGCCCACATGGAGCAGCAATATACACCAGGTGTCTTCATGTTGACCTGAATTATATTCTAAAATATTATAAATTAAACTAATACTTGACTGAAAAGTTACTAATTGTTGCTTTAGTAATCAAAGTTTTTATGACCTAGGCATTCATTTTCTTAAATGTGTAAATTATTATATTGAAACATGAACTTATACTTAGAAATAGTTTGAAATAATTGCTGTATTCAGTTAATTGTTTCACATTTTATTTTAAATGTCATTTTAGGTCTGAGCAGATGTCAACATTTAATTGGTTGTCTGACAAACGTCAGATCAATCACATTTCAGTTAACCGTGTTTGGCCTGCAGACTGACGGCTCAATAAAATGTGCAGAATTATAATAAATAGTTATAAAAACGTTATTCTTATTATTTCCAGATATTACAGATATTACAATTATTCTTATTTAATGAATTAAAAATGTAAAAAAAAAAATATATATATATTTAGTTGTTTTTTTAATGTAATACATTTAACTAAATTTATCAATATTGAATCAAAAATGAAAATGTAGCATTTTTTGGCCACCAAAATAACTCCTTGGTTTTTGTTATTGTGTTTTAAACATTCAAATCTGATTTGGCATGTTTTATACCCCATAACTATATTTACTTATTTTGCTTTTTAAATTAAATTTCAGCTCCGTCTTCAGTAGGAATCAGTTTTGTTTGTGTCTTGAAAACTTCAAAGAAGAATAATACAATCAAAATCTTTTTTAAAGAAAGTTTTAGGTCAAAGGTGATTGGTATTATTAGCATCTTAGCAGAGCATGCATAAAGTCTGGCCTATGTTGTGTCATTAGGTCAGAATAATCATTTTTCCACATAGAGTCATATGAAAAGGTTTGGGCACCCCTATTAATCTTAATTATTTTTATTGCTAAATATTTGGGTATTTACAACAGCTATTTCAGTTTTATGTATCTAATAACTGATGGACTCAGTAATACTGAATTGAAGTATTGAATTGAGGTTTATTGGACCAACAGAAAATTTGCAGTATACATTAAACCAAAATATGACGGGTGCAAAAATATGGGCACCTCAGCAAAAAAGAGACATTAATATTTAGTAGATCCTCCTTTTGCAAAAACAACAGACTCTAGTCGCCTCCTGTAGCTTTTAATGAGATCCTGGATGAAGAGATTTTTGATCATTCTTCTTTTCAAAACATTTCCAGTTCAGTTAAGTTTGATGGTCGCAGAGCTTGGACAGCCTGCTTCAAATCATCCCACAGATGTTCAATGATATTCAGGTCAGGGGATTGGGACGGCCATTCCAGAAGATTGTAATTGTTACTCTGCATTAATGCCTGAGTAGATTTGGAGCGGTGGTTTGGATCATCATCTTGCTGAAATATCCATCCCCGGTGTGACTTCAGCTTCGTAACTGATTCTTGAACATTATTCTTAAGAATCTGCTGATATTGAGTGGAATCCATGCGACCCTCAACTTTAATAAGATTCCCAGTGCCATCATTGGCAACGCAGCCGCAAAGCATGATGGAACCTCCTCCAAATTTTACAGTGGGTAGCAACTGTTTTTCTGGGAACGCTGTTTTTTTTTTGCCACCATGCATAACGCCTTTTTTATGACCAAACAACTCAATCTTTGTTTCATCAGTCCACAGGACCTTATTCCAAAATGAAGCTAGCTTGTCCAAAATTACTTTTGCAAACCTCAAGTGATTCTGTTTGTGGTGTGCTTGCAGAAAAGGCTTCTGTCGCATCATTCTCCTATACAGCTCCTGAGCGGAATTGTTGAACGATTCAGTGACACCATCTGTAGCAAGATGATGCTGCAGGTCTTTGGAGGTGGTCTGTGGGTTGTCCTTGACCATTCTCCCCATTCTTCTTCTTCTCTGCCGCTTTATTTTTATTTGCCTGCCACTTCTGGGCCTAACAAGAACTGTCCCTGTGGTCTTCCATTTCCTTACTACAGGTGCTGGTCATAAAATTAGAATATCATGAAAAAGTAGATTGATTTCAGTAATTCCATTTAAAAAGTGAAACTTGTATATTATATTCATACATTACATACAAACTCATATATTTCAGATGTTTATTTTGTTTAATTTTGATGATTACAAATGACAACAAATGAAAATCTCAAATTCATCATATCAGAAAATTAGAATATTACTGAAGACCAATAAAAACAAAGGATTTATAGAAATGTTGGCCAACTGAAAAGTATGAACATGAAAAGTATGAGCATGTACAGCACTCAGTATTTAGTTGGGCCTCCTTTGGCCTGTATTACTGCAGCAATGCGGCGTGGCATGGAGTCGATCAGTCTGTGGCACTGCTCAGGTGTTATGATAGCCCAGGTTGCTCTAATAGTGGCTTTTAGCTCTTCTGAATTGTTGGGTCTGGTGTATTGCATCTTCTTCTTCACAATACCCCATAGATTTTCTATGGGGTTAAGGTCAGGAGAGTTTGCTGGCCAATTAAGAACAGGGATACCATGGTCCTTCAACCAGGTACTGGTAGCTTTGGCACTGTGTGCAGGTGCCAAGTCCTGTTGGAAAATGAAATCTGCATCTCCAAAAAGTTGGTCAGCTGCAGGAAGCATGAAGTGCTCTAAAACTTCCTGGTATGTGGCTGCGTTGACCCTGGACCTCAGAAAACACAATGGACCAACACCAGCAGATGACATGGCACCCCAAACCATCACTGACTGTGGAAACTTTACACTGGACTTCAAGCAACGTGGATGAAGTGCCTCTCTTCTTTTCCTCCAGACTCTGGGACCTTGATTTCCAAAGGAAATGCCAAATTTACTTTCATCAGAGAACATGACTTTGGACCACTCACCAGCAGTCCAGTCCTGTTTCTCTTCAGCCCAGGCAAGACGCTTCTGACGCTGTCTGTGGTTCAAGAGTGGCTTGACACAAGGAATGCGACAGCAGAAACCCATGTCTTTCATACGTCTGTGTGTGGTGGTTCTTGAAGCACTCACTCCAGCTGCAGTCCACTCTTTGTGAATCTCCCCCACATTTTTGAATGGGTTTTGTTTCACAATCCTCTCCAGGGTGCGGTTATCTCTCTTGCTTGTACACTTTTTTCGACCACATCTTTTCCTTCCCTTCGCCTCTCTATTAATGTGCTTGGACACTGAGCTCTGTGAACAGCCAGCCTCTTTAGCGATGACCTTTTGTGTCTTGCCCTCCTTGTGCAAGGTGTCGATGGTCGTCTTTTGGACAACTGTCAAGTCAGCAGTCTTCCCCATGATTGTGTAGCCTATAGAACTAGACTGAAAGACCATTTAAAGGCTTTTGCAGGTGGTTTGAGTTAATTAGCTGATTAGAGTGTGGCACCAGGGGCCATCAATTTTGAACCTTTTCACAATATTCTAATTTTCTGATATGATGAATTTGAGATTTTCATTTGTTGTCATTTGTAATCATCAAAATTAAACAAAATAAACATCTAAAATATATGAGTTTGTATGTAATGTATGAATATAATATACAAGTTTCACTTTTTAAATGGAATTACTGAAATCAATCTACTTTTTCATGATATTCTAATTTTATGACCAGCATCTGTATGTTCCTCACAGTGGAAACGGACAGTTTAAATCTCTGAGACAACTTTTTGTATCCTTCCCCTGAACGACTATGTTGAACAATCTTTGTTTTCTGATCATTTGAGTTGTTTTGAGGCGCCCATGATGAATCTTCAGAGGAGATTCAAACAGGAGAACAACTTGCAACCGGCCACCTTAAGTACATTTTCTCATGATTGGATACACATGGCTTTGAAGTTCTAATCTTAATGAAGTTACCAAACCAAGTTTGTGTTTCAGTAAGTCAGTGAATAATAAGTAAGGGTATTCAAATCAATGAAATAATTAAGGTTTTCAAATTTTTGCACCTGACAAGTTTTGTTTTAATGCATATTGCACATTTTCTGTTACTCCAATTAACCTCAATTCAATACTGAAATATTACTCTGTCATTCAGTTATGAGATATATCAAACTGAAATAGCTGTTGCAAACACCAGAATATTTAGAAATAAAAGTAATTAAGATTAAATGGGGTGCCCAAACTTTTTCATATGACTGTATTATGCATATTTAATTGAAATTAAGGCTGCAACTAGTAATTATTATGGAAATCGATTAATCTGTCTGTTATTTTTTGATTAGTCGGATAGCCAAAGGTTCTTTAAGAAGATTTTTTACTAAATTAAAGCAGGTGAAACTAAAATGTTTCCACTTGAGGAATATCTGGTTAGAGCACATTGACTGAAGAAAAAGGTTGTTTTTATTTTAAATGCAAAATGTTTATATTTTTTTACATTTACATTTTGATATAATTACTGCTCTAAGTGGGTCAATGTCAGCTAAAGGCATATTTTAGAGTCTCTATACTCCAGTTAACGATTAATCGATTACTATATTAGTTGACGATTATTTCAATAATCGATTATTCCGATTAATTGTTTTATCCCTAATTGAAATCATCAAGTTGATCCATATCAATGCTGCTTTCTGCAAAAATAAAAAGCCTCATCTTCAAATTTCCTTCTCTTTCAGCTGCGGCGACCCGAGATAAGCGTCTACTCCAACGTGGATGGCAAACGGTACATGAACGAAAGTCACATCCGCAGGCAGCTGGTCAGGCAGCTGGTGTCGTCCGTAAAATGGGAACAGACTCTCCATGAGATCTACGAGAGGACGCAGGGGGAGCGCTTCCCTCAAACATACGAGGTCGGCCCTGGGAAGCAGCTGGGCGCCACGCTCCAGAAGTGCAACAGGAAAGCGTCTCAGTCGTACTCTAACGTGGACGTCACTGCGAACGAGGAGTGACTGTGCAGACACGAGGACTCTAAATACAGCATTTTTAGAATAGATCCTGTATAAATTTGTATTTAATAAAATGTTTTTTATAACAAACCAGCCAGTCATCTTTTCTCATCTTTAAGTTTATTTGTAAGAAATGAAAAAGCCTTTTTTTTTTTTTTATCTGCAACAGAAAGTCCAGCTCCCGTCATTAAATCGCAAGCAAAGCTACATCTTTTGTAAAAAGTTTGGCCTCTTTAACCAGTAAGAAACTGCAAAAAACTGCAGGCCAGAAACAGTCCAGTCAGTTTTTTAGTGCTACAATGTTCTGCCAAACTTTTCAGCAAAACCCCTTTACAAAAAAATCCAAACCAATCGAGCTGCTTTGAAAAATTTAAATACATATTTTTAGTTTTATTCTAAAGAGTTTGCCGTCTATGCTGTCACCGTCAATACAGCTCATAGAAAGGATATAAAACGAAAGGTTAAAGTAAACAGCAGAAACACAAATCAGCATTAATTTTCACTTCTCTAAAAACATTTTTTTTTTCTTTTTGTCAAACATCTTCACGCTTCATCCTGGCCTCTTCTTAGGCTCTCTACTCCTTCCACAGTGCTCCAAAAATGCTTGCTGCAGCCAACAGAGCCACAGCTATGACTGCTCCTCTGGTCCAGCCAGGGCAGGTCACTGCTTTCAAACTGGACACCTAAAAAAATAAGAGAAATTATGGGGATGTCCCGGGCAAGGAAATAGCTCTAGATATGTTGTTAATTCACAGCTAGGTGAAACAGCTCTGTATCCTTAAATTAAATGGATAATGAAATATTTTATGCACCTTTTAAGAGTGTTTGACTTGGACAAAAATTGTCATTTCTGTATACACAGTGTTTACAAAACAAAATACTGATGCATACAGCTTTTCAACAGTGAAATGAACATTTCCATTAATAAAGTGCTGCAGTGATCAGGCTGTAAACTGTAGGAGAAAAGGAATCCAGTTTAAGCACATGGTGCAAAAGGCACTGATATGGAAAGGTTCAGTGCAGTGTAAATAAATAAATAAATAAATAAAGATGATGCAAAATGCAGTTAAAAATATTGAGTTAAATTATATTTTAAGGGATTATGAAAAAAAAATGTTTGCCATATAGTGCAAATATTATGTTTACATGTGTGATGCAGAGACTTTATTAGTGTCATTATTGGCGTTTTAACAGTATTTATATCAAATCTTGGATAACTGTCCAAAACATCAAGAAAAAAGGCTCTGTTCTGTTCTAATCGGTTTACTTAGGATAGAAACACAAGGCTATGGCATCCATTACCTTATTTTTTTTCTGTTCCATAGAAAGCAGTTGCTCTGTTCTTTCTTTAGTTGTGTCTTTTTCCTGGAAGGAGCCAATAGCAGCTCTGCAGTTTTTATTTTATTTTTTTTTTTTTGTACCTTTTCCACACTGTTTTCTCAAATAGAAAGTACTCCTAGTTTCTTTCTGCATAAGGCTACAGAGGCACTGTGACTCCTCTAAGAACAATCTGTCTCCCTTCTTATAGAGTTAAACCCTCTGAGTCAAAGGGATGAAGCTTTAACCAAAAAAAACTGTTGCCACTAACCTCACAATGAGGTTTAATCTATCTCCAAATCAATTTAATGACATTTTAGTTTCCTTACCTCTTCAAAAATATCTGTAACCTTTGCAGATATATTTGTTTGTTAGTTTGATGTAGAGATGAAATAAGCGGTTTTTTTCAGGAGGCAACTGTTGCCTTCAGAATAAAAATATCTGCTGCTAAGCATTGTTACAAAATTAAGCCAAACAAGTTTGTTGTTAAGGAATTGCTGAATGAAATATTACCCAGGCTGCCACCATATCTAGTCTTAGGTTCTGCCCAGGTGTAGCGCTGACAATCCAGGCCTTTACCGGAGCCAACAGACCCTGGAAACCCCATAACTGGCTCTGGAGATCCCTGCAAAGAGATAACGACGATATTAAGGCCAACAGGATAAATATCTAACAGGAAATGTGAGATTGTAAAAAGCAACCTGTTTTTGTACCTGTAGATGATGCGTGCCAGAGTCTGGGCAGGTCTCAGCAGGTACAGAGGACTTGGCGGCCAGTTTGGATCCCTCCTGGCCCACTCCTGGTCCAGATGATCTCCGATTAGAGCCAACTGTCTACCAACGACCCTCACAGCCCTGTCACGGCTCCTAAACCACGGAAACCGAATGGATTTTTATTTACATCTAACAATAAAACCCAATTATATGAAAGCTCAAATGGAAATCCTTTTTTTTATTGTTCTTGTTAATGCAATACACATGATAAAACAGTTTTTGCTTGTGTTTTACTGCTGTACCTGAGGGTCACATCCACCACCTCTCCAGGTCCAGCCTGGAGGGTCACACCACGGTTCGGACGTCTGGTTTGTTCCACCATTGTGTTTTCTGAAAAAGAGCAACATTTTCAGATGAATTCTTGTCAAAATAGTTCTATCAAAGCCAACATTAACCATGCAGGTTGGTTTAAGCCTGCATTTGATCATGCATTATCTCCACTGGACTTCTAACGTTCATAAACAAGCTGTGTACATAAGAGAACATGTGACAAGGATGGGTGGCGCCTGTTACCAGGGAGAGAGTCCAGGTAAAAAAAAAAAAAATGTTTGAAGTGGTGACTTCATTTATTTGATTGCTGCTAAACTGTTTTACTTCCCCAATTTCTAAGACCTGTACATTTAAAAACGTTACCTTTTAATAACACCTTAATAGTGGGCCTTGTTAGATTTTATTTAAAGTTTTTTTCCTAAATCATCTGTGCACCTGAGCTGAGATCATACCTGTTGTTCTCATGCCCTTTAATGCAAATGACACATTTCCATTACCCAAATCAACCAAACGGCTTTTCTTTCCTCAGTAAGAAGAAATAAAGCATCCCTCACCCTAGATAATCCCTAATAAACTTCAAATGTTTGTATGTTTACAATTTTTCTAAGAGATAATGTATCTCTATATGTAAATGTGAATTTTAATTCCCTTATAATAATATTTTTTTATTCTCAAAACAAATGTACTTTACGAATATAAGTGTAAATGTCCTAAATAAAACACAAACTGATGTATGCTGAAAATAGCTTCTCTGGTAGCTTGAAGCAGTTTCCCTTATTGTCAAAACAAAAAGATGAAGTCATCCTTCATGCCCAAAGCAAACAAAGGTCATTTGGAAAACCATACTTGAAGCATTTCCCATAAACCCTTCAACTAACAAAGTTTATCCGTTTCTTTGATTTAAGTCAAAGAGGTGTAGAGTTTCATTTGGTAACTTTTTTTAAAAATGTTTATCGAATGCAATGCTTCCACAGTAAACAGGTGCAGCCACACAGCTAAAAAAGAAAGTAAAATACCTTAAATGTAGATTAAAACGGACGCCGCCCTGTAATAGATACAACAACCATTAGGATCGGCATTTATATATAGTGAAGAAATCAAATAAATAATCGAAAGACATTTGTACTTACAGCAGCGTCCTTTAATCTCGCTCTTCTCAGGTAAGTTCTGCAAATTGCCGTTGGCCACGCCTTTACCTGCTGCTATTCATTTTGACCGCTAGGGGAGACAGAAACGATAGAATGGGACCCCATGAGTTATTGGGCATATTCCTAATTTAGTTAAGCTTTTAGCTTTTTTCGCGAGAAATATTTACTATATTATTTATTGGAGAATTAGTGCGTCTATCTATCTATCTATCTGTCTGTCTGTCTGTCTGTCTGTCTTAATGAATGAATTCAGAACCTTTTGAATTAACTGATCATATCTTATTGTGTACTTGTACACTGAAAGTAAATATTATTGTTGGAGCTATTTATTCTTTATCTCTTTATCCATTTGAATTGTGTTAATTAATTCTTAAATTTATATTTTTTTAATTTATATTTTTATTTAGAGTTTATTTGCAGGTTTATAATTGTTGGTTCTATTTATGTGATGTGATGGGGATCAGTCTGCTTTCTATAAATGTAGGGGCCTGGGAAAGGACCAGCAGGCATTTTGGATTTGGGGCCTATGGTTTTTGCCTGAGCAAGAGAGGTAGGACAAAAGAAACGTTTGAACTCTTTAATTGTTGGCAAAAAATAGAAAATAAACCTTCCAGAACCATCATCAAGACTGGACATTGAACCTTTTTGGCCTGTGTGTAGAAACCTGACCCCGGTGCCTTAGTAGTTCCTTAAAGGAACTTTAATTGGATGTTTGGCTTGGCAAACAATCACCACTACAATTATTGAATATAACAGTGTAACTATTTTTGTTTAGTTTTTTGCTGATTGGCAGGACTACCCTAAAAAACAGGACTTTAATCAAAGTTGAACTATGTCCTGATTAAAGAATGGTTGAAGAAAACAGAATAAAACAAATATATATCACTAAATTATTATCTCATGTGGCTTATATAAAGAACAATATATAGTAGTGAAGTGGATTAGAGCCACTGAAAAAACACAAACAACAAAATAAACTCAATGAAACAAAAAAAAAGCTATTGATTTCTGACTTTAATCTTAGAATTCGGCCTAGTCCTGAATTTTATCTTCGAATTCTGTCTTTAATCTCAGAATACTACTTTATTTTCAGAATTTTTAATGATTCTGGCTTTAATCTCAGAAATGGCCACTTAAGGAAACAGTAAAGGCTTTTGATTTCTGACTTTGATCTCAGAATTCGCACTTTAATATCAGAATTATGATTATTTTCGGAATTTTTACTTCAATCTAAAAATTCTTACTCTAATCCTGAGAATAAAGTCAGAATGATGAATAAATTTTTTTTGGACTGCCATTAGCCCAAACAATTGTTCTAACAAAATCAGCGAAATAGTGACCCCCTGTGGTCCAAGGAGGTAACTGCATCCTGCAGTGACATCACTGCGTCCTCCGTTGCTAGGTTATTCTCGTAAGCAACATCTCCTGTTTCTGAGACACACCCTGTTAAACATCTACATTAATCTTAAGGTACTCTACTATTTCTTTGTGAATTATTATTTTTTTAATCATAAGGACATGTTTAGCTGGAGTTTGACCGTCTTGGGCGTTGTCGTCACCGGTTCACGTCGTCGAAATCGATAATTGCAGCCAGGTTAGCTAACTAAAACGGAGGCTGTGTATGCTAGCTATAGCAGCTTCAGCTAACTCTGATGCATAACTTGGCTGTAAAGCTGTAACGACAGTCGGATGAGACTGCATCCCTAACCGAATGATGGCCGCCCAGCCTCTGCAGCAATCCCAGGAGGATTCAGCAACCTGCTAACGGAGCAAATGCTGATGACTGGCTGTTTCCTGCTACTGATTTGCAGGTACCTGGCGACTGTAACCCAAAACTGCTCCTCAAATGATGTAATAAAGCTATTATAATGTATTTGTTTGTATATGTTGATGAACTCTGACCATATTTGTTTACATGTTTTGAAGGCACCATGGCTGGGAAGGTGAAGTGGGTGACAGACATAGAGAAATCAGTGCTCATCAATAACTTTGAAAAAAGGGAATGGGTCCAAGTGACTGAAAACGGGGACTGGAATTTCTACTGGTAGGTTCTTCAACCATAGAGCAAATTAATCTGAAAGATCAGGTTGGATTAATCTGAAAGATCAGGTTGGAATGAATATATATATATATATATATATATATATATATATATATATATATATATATATATATATATATACACATATATATACACACATATATATGTATACATATAAACTTTTATTTAACCAGGAAAAAATTCCCATTGAGATAAAAAAACAGTTTTAAGAGGCAGCAAAGTTACATAAGAAACATAGATGCATTAAAATAAATGACAGGTACATAAAAAAAAAAAAACATATCACGTAAAACAATTACAGATCATTGAGGCTGCTTCAAATTCTTTTACTTTCAACTTAATAGCATTTAAAGATAAAAACTCAGTCAACTTGTCATAAAACACTGGACAGATGGACACAGTATTCAAGGTGAGACAGTCAGTAGGAAAGTTCAAAACGTTTGTTAATATAAAAATATAAACAAACAGAAAATAAAGTGGAGCTGCTAGGATCTGCAACTCTCTGATGCTGCACGAGAGGGGCGGGGAATCGCCCAATCTCAAGACACTCTCAAGACACTGAGGTTCAACAGTGTCTTGAGATCCTCTACGCCTGGAAAGGGGCGCAATCAGTGGCGGATCTAGACTTTTATCCTTGGGATAGCAAGGGGGTGGCCGAGTGTATTTTAGGGGGGCAATGGTTTATACTTAAAAATAACAAAGTTTATGCACTAGCGTTAATGTCGCAGCAGAAAACACCAACCGTCTGTAAGCAATCGAGTGCTGTATACCTGTTCATGTCAAGTTTAAATTATTATTCACTATCATTTATTTCTACATGGACTTACAGATGTTGGTCCTGTCTTATGTTCTTCTTTGACATGTCATGAGTAATGACTTATCATTCTTATGTTATACTCTATATGTACACACACACACACACACTTCTTTCAACATCAAACTTCCAGGGGCTACAGATGAAAGCCAACTAGTCTGTGGTTATCTTTGGTGCATAATTTACAAGTTAATTAAGGCTTATTGACCTTTCTTATATAAACCTTGTAAGCAGTAATTTGCAATCATATTTAAGTAGCCACATACTAAGCAGACAAAAGGTGCAATTTTGAGTACAATTTGTAGTTTATTTATGCACAAAATTAATATGGTGCATTCTTCAATTCTCTGATAACAGAAACACAGATCAAAGATCCCACTCACCCAGCATACAAACTGTTTTCCCTACTACAATCAGGGAAGCACATCTTCAGGCTCTGGTTGCTCTGGGTCTGGGTCGTCGTCCTGCTCAGAAGCCTCAGAGCCTTCCTCAGAAGGAACTATATTGTGAAACAATATTAACAATGAAAATAATATAAATAAATAATGTTAATGTACTGACTGAACTTGGCATGTCTGACTTGCTCTGACCTGATGATGGTGGGCTGTGTTGTGCCTGACACTCCTCGGTAATGGTTCCAGCTTGGGACCTGTCATCATCTCGGTCCACTCTCACACCTACATAGTAGAAAAATATTTATTTAATAGTATGATCAAAATAAACAACCATTGTCTAAAACTGAACATACAACAATAACCAACATTCATAATACTGTTTAACATAACTTAAAATGACTGAACTGAACATCTGAAATAATGTTAAATATAATTTAAAATAACTGAACATGTGACTGCTTCTCTATGTTCAACATTGGCGATGATGACAGGCTGGATTCTGCCGGACTTTCCTGACTAGTCCCAGGATGAGGGCTGCCGGGGCTGCTGATCTGTTCTAAGCCTGATCTGTTTCTCTTAAAGTAGTTATAAATCGTGCCTCCCTGTCTTTTCATTCTCAACCGGGAAAAAAAACGTTTTATTACTTATCAAAGCAAAATGCAACATTTCGTGTCCAAAATGATGCACAAGGAAATTAATGAATACAGACTACATTTTTACAGCCTAGAAATATCAGAACACAACAATAAGACATGTCTAGTGACTGCAATCTATCCATTCAATTAAGGTTTCAGCCTGCCATAACTTTACTGGCTAACTACATCGGTCGTGAATTATCTACGACTAGTAATGCCCTTCATGACATGGGCAAACGGTTCTGATCAAAGATATTGCTGGTTTCATAATTCAGAAGGTTCTAGACACGGACATTAAAAAAATGAAATAGTTTCCGTTCTCGTCAGCAGTATTTTCAGCAGACGTGGGCATGAAATCACAGAAATTGACACTGAAACGCATCAATATCACCCACCTGCACCTGTCTGTTTACAGCCAGGCTAGCTTCTAGCCGCCCTTCGTGAAAACAAGGGCTTCTCCTTATCATTCTGATTTATGAAACGGACATCAATTGAACAGAGGATGATCCTCATTGACTGAACTTATCAAATTGAGCTTCTTTTATGAATATAATCTGTGCTCCGTGCAGCCTACTCACCGATATGCGTCAGTCGGTCCAAACGAGAATAAAATCCATCTCGAGAGCGTGCAGCCTTTTCCCAAAGAATGTTGTTTGTTAACTAATGTTATGCTTGTTGCACTAGGTGGCTCCACAGCCGCTTTAGTTCTTCTTCTTTCACCCTAGATTCACGACTGGAAAGGGGCTGCATAGCGCTTGCTGCATTGCGCCATCTACTGTACAGGAAGAACATCGCAGTCAAAGACTTCAAACGTGCAACTGTTTTAGCGGTGCCGTCAATCAGCTGGGGTGGCAGTTGGGGTAGCCAATCAGATTTCGGGGGAGTCAATTGCTCCCGTAGCCACCCCTATAGATCCGCCCCTGGGCGCAATCCAGGCGTAGAGGACTTGCAGGAAGCCGATCCTGGACAGGGATTCAGAACAGGCAGGAACAGACAGAACAGTCAGGATCCAGGCTTCCAGGCAGGTTCAGAGTCCAGAAGCGTGACCAGGTGGACACGCACAGGAGCAGACAGAATCAGGTGCAGACGCGCAGGCTCAGTGGAAGAGGGTAGCCGTGACAGGAGGTGGAAGCAGAACTTAAGCAGGACCTTTAAACTACTCTCC